GTAATTTGCCCTTACGGCAGGGACGGGGATTGCATGAGTTCAGGTACGATATACCTGATCTCGTGTAACAATTGCGGAGATGAATATATTGGCGAAACGGGCAGAGCTTTGTGCATCCGTATAAAAGAACACCTAGATGGCAAACGAAAACTAAGACAAAGCACCCCACTAGGCACGCATAGGATACAAAAGCATAGCGGAGACGATTTTGAAGTGAAAGTCAATATCCTTGCACAGGAGCCCAAAACACCAGCGCGAAAACTCCTAGAGGCTTTTTGAATCAATGCCAAAAACCCTACAATGAATAGCAGGGACGAATGCCCGGAGATCATACGCGACCTNGTGCATCCGTATAAAAGAACACCTAGATGGCAAACGAAAACTAAGACAAAGCACCCCACTAGGCACGCATAGGATACAAAAGCATAGCGGAGACGATTTTGAAGTGAAAGTCAATATCCTTGCACAGGAGCCCAAAACACCAGCGCGAAAACTCCTAGAGGCTTTTTGGATCAATGCCAAAAACCCTACAATGAATAGCAGGGAGGAATGCCCGGAGATCATACGCGACCTGATCCCGTACGTTCGGATCGATTTTTGATGTGGGATGGTGCAGTCGTCAACCACATGCGACTATAATCAGCTGTTCTAAACTTCTTCATTGGAAGTCACGAAAAAGCGGTGGGTTTTTCGAGAAGTTGTTGATCGTGTAGTTACCAAAGAGTCTTTCGTCTTTTTGTAAGTGTTATTGAAGCGTTTGGCCTAGTAGATTGTATATCAGTATACCCTTCCAGGCTCTGAAGAAGGCGATACTGCCGAAACGTCAGCTAGCGTTGTATTGTATTGTGTTTTTATGGAAGTAAATGTATGCTGTTTAAAAACCTCGCGATTGCTGAACAAGAAAACGACACAAGAGAAGACTAAACCATACCACTTGTGTGAAAAACCTATCCGTGCTTCGGTTTGTCGCAACAGTCATCTTTTATGAATCACGTTCTATTTACAAAATCCTGTTACCACCTTTGCCATCTCTGATCTTCGTCAAAAGAACACCAATGCCACAAATTCCTGCTAAGCAAACTTTGGCAGGCGGATTAAACAAACTATACACAACTCCCATGACCGACTTTCTTTTAACCTCGGCATTGATTGATAATTCGATGTTTTTCTTCAATAAGCAGACACGCGGTTGTTATTAAAGAATTTATTAGGACACCACAATAGCTGACGTTTCGGCAGTTTCGCCTTCTTCATTGCCGTTTATTTGTTGTACGTATTTAAGTTAGTTGATAGATAGCAGCCGCACAGAGTAATACATCTGCGATAACACTGAAGAAGGCGAAACCGCCGAAACGTCAGCTATTGTATCCTAATAAATTCTATAATGTGTCGTTTTCTTGTTCAGCAATCGCGAGGTTTTTAAACAGCATACATTTACTTCCATAAAAACACAATACAATACAACGCTAGCTGACGTTTCGGCAGTATCACCTTCTTCAGAGCTGCTTTTTCGTGACTTCCAATGAGGAAGTTTAGAACAGCTGATTATAGTCGCATGTGGTTGACGACTGCCTTAAATTCTATAATAACAACCTCGTGTCTGCTTATTGAAGAAAAACATCAGACTAGACACACTCATCTATGAGAAGATGTAATCCTTAGCGAAAAGTCCCGCTACAAATTCATCCGAAAAATCAAATCCGGAGCAATAAAGTCAAACTATCTATCTACTTCAATCTAAAACATTCCTCTTCCGTAGAATTCACATAGCAGGAAGAGAAATCAATGTTGGAAAAGGAAGACGTTTAATGACACGACCTATCTATTAATGAAAATAAGGACCTGTAACCTATAGAATCTATACTCTCTTGACAAAATCAAAACAAAAACTACAATTACAAGGACAGTGAGATTTGAGCAAAACTCGTAACCTCAGGTGCGCTTCGAACACACGATTACCCTTCTCAGAGGCTCGCGTGCTATCCCCCACACCAGATCAGGATCTTGCTTTGGCTTTCTCTCAACTTGGTTTTTACGCTAACGGTGTTATCAGCGATCACCTGTCAACGGGAATGATCTGCAAATCGGCACTGAACCTAGTTAAGCTTAAGCTGCAGTAAAAATCACAGTGGTTAGACTTTTATTTGTTGCTTATTCTTTTCATTAACTTGCCTTACTTATCTACTTTTTAATCACTTTCCAAAAGGGGTAATCATGGGTTCCAAGAACACCTGAGGTTCCGAGTTTTCCTAATATCTAAGCGATTTTTAAAATCACCCTTGTGTTAGCTCAATCATCCAGAAAAATAAAAACCAAGAACTTCTTGATGGAAGCTTGCACAGAATATTGACTTTCTGGAAGTCATAAACCACTTTCGGGTGCATCCCGGCCGCCATACATTTTTCCGCAAAAACTTGCCGAGTGGTGTGGAAAGTTGTTGCAACTGTTGAAAGTTGCAGTCAATTGGTGAGAGACTTCTTCAGAATGTCGGATATAATGTTTTGCCGCCCACTCGTCCAACCTTTGTAGTATTCGCTGTGCAAAATGTACTTTGACGTTGTCACGCCACAGAATTCCTTCGCAGTGTTCCAGTTACTGGTGTATCTTGTCAGCAATGCTTATCTAAGAAAACTTCGCCAGAATTTAAGAAGTAATAGTGGATATCCACGAAACGTCAAAACAACTTTCTTCTGAAGTGAGTTAGGTTTTGCGATATGTTGAAGAAAAACAACTCAGTCGAAATGCTCTAATGAACGAAGTCCACCGTCGCGGAGGTCACATGATGCTACTACGAGTTGAAACCTTTACAGGCTACGAGCATATTCACCTCTCACACGAAAGAAACCCCTCGGCACATTGCAATAAAACAAGTAAGTACAGGAATTTAATAATAGTAGCGTACCATCGGGGGTGTGAACAGGGCAAATAAATCCCCATGCCTCCGGGCGGAGTTTACGAACGTCAGTGGTACGCATCTCTGTGAAGAAAGCTCCTCTACAATATCTTTATTAAAAAAGGAATAAAAAACATGCTAGTCACAAATCAATGACAAGGAAAGCCGACCGATGAATAGCACGGAAATGCGACACAAATCGAAGCTGATTGATTCTCTCAGCGATTACAGAAAACCCCGTCTCCTGCAAATTTAATTCTCATCTCGTAATTATTCTGGACATCGCAATAGGTACTTGAATGAGATAATTATCGGGAAATACAAAGACAACTGACCTGTTGTAGCGCTAGACCAACTTTGGTGATCAGATTACCTGTGGCTAGAAAATATTCAAGTCCCCTCGTAAGTTCCCCACTCTGATGGTTGCCAAGGGCACGAACAACTTCATTACTAAAAATCGCACAAAACATAATTACAAACAATAATATTCCTATCAAAAATGGAAACTGCAAAACCCACGAAGTCAAAACGAAAGAATCTTTTTTGCGATTAGCGAAAAATTCCAACTTCCTTCGAACCATACCAAGTGTATTCTCCAAACGTTCACGAATGATGAGCAAAATCACATGACCAGAAACAGCCGCCTCCTTAAACTCACTTAGCATACAACAAAGTATCAATGAGTGGTAGTAACAACGATCAATAACAATGGACATCGCCCACTTACCTGGAACTGAGGATTATCTGGTGTTTCTGGAGCACACTCACCCTAAACACGTTCAAAATGTGGTAGCCGAAAGCAAACTCAAAGAAGATATCTCATGAGGATGTATATGTAATAATAACAGGAATAATAATCCTCCCAACGATTTACCACCTCCCCAGCAAGGCTTCCCAAGTCGAGAAGGAGTCCGGCGTATCCTTCAGGAAGCCCAAATATAAGTAAACCAATACCAGGATCCACCACCGTCCTGGTATGAAACTAGTAGTATGGTGGCAAATCTCCCTCTGACCGGCAAGGGCGGCGACTTCCTGTCGTGGTAACGACCTGGAGCAAACTTTGCCTACCCTGACCTTGGGACTCCGAGGAACCACAATGGGTAAACCAACAAAACTCCGAAGATATGTAACTTATGCTGGGATTCACACAACCAGCAAAGAAGAGGCCATCCAAGTATTCAAGCAGGTAAGTAAGTAAGTGATAATAGTAATAACAATAATGATAGCAGTAACGCTTTACCTTTACCAGAGCAAAGAGCTTTTGTGCCATATAAACAAGTATATAGAACTTCTCTATCCAATCATCTAAATGCACCGCTACACACGATTCGATGATGAAACGACCTGCTTCCTGAAAGTCGCAAAATTTAAAACTACTCGTAACCAAAATCCTCTTTGATAATTTAGTAAGAACTAGAGATCTCATGAGTGTTTCGAAACGCCTTCTTCATGGAATACCTACTGATTTCATACGAGAAAAAAAACCAATCAAAACGTAAATTTCAACACTTATCAGCTCAGTACTCACTTCATCATCTTCCCACGGAGCAATACGATCAGAAACTGCGACTCTAAAGCGTGCCCCGATCGCCCGCAAAGCCGCCTCACGGTGCAAAACGCCTTCATCTTGACACTGGGATAACATATTCATGACACATGAAGAAAAGAATTCATCTCCTGTCCTCCCCCTAAATTTTCCTCCCGATTAAAGAACTGTGAACCACTTAGATACAACCAAACTTTGAAACCAAACAAGCCTTTTCAACTCTGTGGCAATCAAATAGTCGTTCTTATCAACTAAGGCTTTCAGAATATACATGAACGGCAAGTAGAAAATCTCCCGACGAAACTGAAAAAAAATTCAGTAATTTTTCAGCACTTCATGGAACTAACTGCAATCTATACTTATTATATTCGGAAATTACTACAGTTTGGAAAAACTACATAATCTCCTTCTGTATCAATGAAAACCGATTTTAAACCCGTATGCAATATACACAGACCGAGTGCAGCGCAGTGATCGGAAGCGTCCTGTAATAACTCAAAAGACCGACTTTCTATAAACCTCGGCATAGATTGTTAAAATATTTATTTATACGATTTTATAAACTGATCTTCTTAAGCCGATGCTAGGTTCGTAAGTTTCGGCGATTCCTCTGAGCCGTGCTGTTATGAGTGGGACTCCTAGTACATCAGCCACCGACCAAAAACACAAACAGCAACGACAACGAAGGCCTATACGAACCGCGCATCCGCTTAAGAAGATCGGTTTATAAAATCGTATAATAAATACATCAACGTCCTGTAATACACATGGGATCGCGCCCCAGACTCACTCCATCCCTCCAGGGTTGGCAAATACACGTCTGTGGCTTTTTCTTCAACACCATTGCAAAAAACCACCCGAATTGCATCCCACCGAAGGAAACCTGCAACCTAAAGAGTTTAACACCATTTTGGCAATTATTGTAGAGCACCAAAAGAATACAGCCTTCCGCGTTGATCAATCGCTGAGGTTTGTCTCGTGCATTCGACTTTATTAAGGTCTATTATCGTTTGAGGTGAACAAATGTACACCTCGTTTATGTAATGACTTGCGACGATCCAAAGATGTATAAAGTCAGCGTAGTTATCCTCACTATCCTCCCACACAAGTCCGGCATCAATCTGCCGACCTCAAAGGAATGGAAGTTTTGGTGGTTGTGTAGCGCAAGATCGATCCTATGTGTGTTGTAGGCCACCCTTGACATCTGCGGTACATGCGCTCTTTTACGCGTAGAGCTAATCATCGCCAAAAATCCGAACGAGGTTCGTTTCTAAAATCGGATTTTCATTTAACCTTGGCATGATGTGTCTTTGATTACTGAGCTGACACGAGGTTGGTATAAAATATTTATTCGGCTAACGTCCCTATATCTTCGTCTTCTTAAGAGTAGGATCGAAACATTAGCCTAATATTTTATACCAAGCCTGTGTAAGCTCAGTAATCACCTGTATCACCAGTAGTCCCGTTCATCGTCGACTAACACGAGCGGGCGCCAGTAAATCTTCCATTTTTCCCCGTCATGTGCAAGAGTAGCCCAATAGATTCTGCTCGCTCTAGGGACTCGTCGAGCATCATATCTTTCCATCAGGCTTTTCGTAAGGAACTCTGACCATCAGGTTGGTGGTCTTCCTGCTGTACGTCTGACATCCCGAGGAATCCAGTCACTAACAGCTCTTGTCCATCGATTGTCATTCATACGCATTACGTGTCCGGCCCACCTTATCTTCAACTGTTTGGCGTACAGAACGGCGTCTTTGATTTTTGATCGTTAACCCAGGCCTGAACCTCGGATCCCATCCCTTATTTGTGCAAAACGGGAAACGCCTAACATCCTCCTTTCGACTACGCGTTCGATAACGCTGACTGATCTTTCATTCAGGTTTCTGACGCAAACGTTAGGGCAGTAAATACAGTTGAGTCGAAAAGGTGGGCACGGAGTCGGGTGTTCTTTGCCCTCTTCACTACATCCTCGATGCTCTTGAAAACTCCCCAGGCCGCTCGTTTCCTTCTGCTCAGCTCTGGAGCTGAGTCGTTCATCATATTGATTTCTCGACCTAGATAAACGTAACTGGAGCATTCGGAGATATTCGTTCCGTTGAGCGTGAATGGGGCATGCGAAACCAATCCGTTCTTCATGAACATCGATCGTTTTTGTGTAGTCGAAGACCAATCTTCCCACAGGCTTTATCAAAGTCTTCAAGTACACGTTCCGCTCGAATGTTTGGTGTTATAAAGGCGATGTCATCAACAAAGCGAAGATGATGTAACTGGCCACCATCGATTTTCACTCCCATATTATCTCATTCCAATGTTCGCATGACGTTCTGGAGGATGGCGGTAAATAATTTTGGTGAGATGGCATCGCCTTGTTTAACTCCTCTTCTGACGTCAATGTTAATATCGTTGTAGAATGGTGATATCTCGGTTGTTAAATTTTTGTATAGCTCGCTCACGAAGAATCTTTATGTACTGAGTAGGGACTTCTTGACTATCAAGGGATGAATCAAAGGCCATCTGTAAATCGATGAAAGTGAGACAGAGCGGTCTTCTGTACTCTTAGGATACTTCAATGATCCGTGTTACCGTGTGGATGTGGTTCATCGTACTAAATCCTTTTCGAAACCCTGCCTACTCACATGGCTGTCCATCTTCCAGTGTTCTGTCAATCCTGTTTAGGATGACTCGAGTGAAAAGTTTGGTAGACGACAGACAGTGAGCAGATTGGGCGATGGTTGCCGATATCGTGTAGGTCACCCTTCTTGAACAATAACACGGTTTTGCTGGTTTTCCACTGAATAGAGACCATGCATTCAGACAGGTAACGTGTGAAGAGCCGAGCCAGTGTGTTTGCGAGGACTGGCAGAAGGCAGAAGGCAGAAGGTTCTTCAGGTGTTGTCTTGGTCGCCATGATAAACTCAGACAGCCGCTCACCCTTTTCGTTCCATTCTAAACCATAGGTCCCAATGTGACGTTTTTCAGACGTTCTTCTTGGTCCAATCTCGGCACTAAAATTTCCAGTGGTGACCTTGGAGAATGTGTGGTCCTCTCTGTAGAACTTCTCGAAGTCCATATTGAACGCTTCTTGTTCTTCGTCATGGTTTGATGTCGGCGCGTAGACGACGAGGATTGTCAAAGTCGGAAGTGATCCACATTTTTTCAAACGTAAACATCCGATTCCGCTTGTTAGTTGTTCGAGTGAATCGATGTTCATGGACAAACTCGTGTTAATGAAAACGCCGACGCCGCCGACTCTACTACTGCATGTTCCGAGGAACAGTTCTTCTTCAGTGTCATAGACGGCGTTGAATATGTGGCATCGTCTCGGCCGAACTGATGATGTCGTACCTTATCTTTCTCGCTTTCATGCGCAAGTCTTCTATCGAGGACTTGGATGCAAGTGTACATCCATTGTAGGTACATATAGTCACCATAGTTACTTGTAATCCAGGCAGCTTCCATTGGCCCTGAGATTCTAGCAGCCTCTCCGTACTCGTAACACTGAGAAATTGGGGGCTCTTTCAGGGTCGGAGGAATGAGGCCCGTTTTTTTTTTTTACTGTGTTTAGCATTTTGATACCCACGTATAGCTTGCTCCGCTCTGAACGTAGAGGCTGGGTATAGTCACGGGTACCTTACCAGGCTCTCCCAGAGTGGACATGGGGCTTATTTGTTAGGGGCGAGTCCTAACCGCCTCCCATATACTTCCCTATCACTTGATTGCAGACTTTTAGCCGAATTAACCCGTAGAATACAATCCGCATAAGCGAGAACGCAATAAAATAATAATCCACGCACGCGTGCATGAATACGCCTCGTAAATAGGGAATGTATGCGCCAAATCGGCGCAGCAGAAACAGGCAGTCCATCCCCTGGATCCACCTGCGTCTCAGGGAAGCAAAGGTCGCTTCTGGTCCGCGATTAACCCCCTAAAGCAGTTGCTAGTGAAAATTAGGTCCTCGAATCAGTTCTCGGCACCTTATAATCACTAGGTTTGAGCAGGGTGCCCGACTTAGTAGAAGTTGCCACGCAGGACCTTTTCGTACTTGTCACAGAACAATGTCTCAAACTTGGGTAATTAAACCGTTCATAACAATAATAATAATTTAGGAATAACGAAATATAAACATTGGTACAATAAAGACTGCAATATTGTATCATGATCAATAAATGAGGGTAACGCGGGTTAGTATCTTTGCTATAGGTACAGAAGTACATGACAGTATAGTTAATGTACAGCAGTGACCACATACAACAAGACAGAACACCTTGGATTGACTACAAGGCGCATTACACATGACGAACAGAGGGGCGAATACGGTATTGACGCACGGGGCTATTTAAATATCTTCTGGAGGAGGTGGTGCTTTGGCACAGGCCCAGAACCCTTACCGAAAACACCCATCAACTTGCGTCTCCAGCTCCCTCGTGATCAGATGGCTGAGGACGATTTGCCGAACAGCTTCATGCCCCTTTGTGTTACCGTACCCGTGGTGATTTGGAACAGATGCAACACACAAAAGGTTCCGATTGTATAAAGAGTGTGGTTCACAAAGGATGTTTACGACAACCAAAGTTTCTCTCAACGAAGTGAAAACGTTTACATGCTGCAAGATCGCAAAGCGATGTGAGGGGCTATATATTTGCAAAACTCCGGACCGCAGGTGTATGCGGTGGAGAACGAACGCGCTATTGTGCCTTCCGGGGAGTAGCGCGTTCACCACCACACCACGCGGGTCCATCGTTTCGCCTGTCTCTCAGCTAGTTCTATCGATCTTTTGCCATCAGCAATCACCCGTCAGCGGGATTGACGTCATGCCGTTAAAAAGTGTAGGCAGTAAATAATAAGTTAAAATTGTGATTATAACTGCGGCCTCAGCTTAACTGGGTTCGCTGCCGATTTGGGCCTCCCAGATCAATCCCGCTGACGGGTGATTGCAGATGGCAAAAGATCGATAGAACTAGCTGGGAGACAGGCGAAACGAAGGCCCTACATGGTGTGGTGGTGGGCGCGCTACTCCCCGGAAGGGACAATAGCGCGTTCGTTCCCCACCGCATACACCTGCGATCCGGAGTTTTGCAAATATCTCAGCATCATTGAAGTTATATTTTGGTAATAGTTGCAATATCCCCTATCCGTCACCTGGGGGCGCGCCACGTTGCCTCGCGACTAACCAGCTCGTGATTCCTCATGAGGGAGTTTCGTGGCAGCTCAGTAATCAAAGAAGAAAAAGATAATTCATTTTGTTAAGAAACTGTACTGCAAAATACTACTAGGCCCAATAATTAACTAAAAATAGGAAGGTGAAAAGTAATAATCCTGAAAGTCCAACAAAAAGTCCTCAGGAACTAGGTTGTGTAGGAATACATACTAAAAACGCAGAGTTTTGAGAAATACTAAATAGATTCGTAGTAGATAGCAGCACTACCCATTCACCAAGACTAGTTGGAAAATCGATACGTAGTTTAAATAGGTAATTTTTCCTGGAGGAAAAATTAAATATCCAGAATAAACACTCCGAAGGGTATAGAAATATCTCACTTGCAAAGCAATTTGCAAGGTGCCAGACTCAAGATAGTGAAGGGTCATCATGACTGCAGTATGGTTATCCTTCACACTTCTCATCAACACACCGTACTGAGTAAACAGCAGTCCCTAAAAAATGCCGCCAGTATACCAGCTCTCGATACTATTAACATAAGTGTGTGAACATCCAACTAACCTTTTCACGAAATGCTTTCCTACACAGTGCTATGGGAAAATTTCTTCGATTTGAAACCAACAAGCGAATCACCTCGAAAACGACACAGATGATTTAAAGAAAATAAGACACCAAAATTATAGCAAAAAAAAACCTTCTCGCTTCCTCTGCATATGAAATATCCGCCTTGTTCAGTTCCTTCTTCACCGGCTTTTAATAACTCTTTGATGCTCATTTTGTTCAAGTGACAAAGTTTCGAACGAAGCATTATTGGTACTCGACCAATCACCCTCTCAACGATGTCAATCCGTTGGCCATTGACTTTAATCTACAAGTAAAATATTTACATATTGTACACCTGATTGACCACCCTTAATACGTTCGGAAAACAAACAAATTGTGGTCACTTTTTATTTACTGCCTATTCCTTTTTTCAAACGGCAGAGTATTATGTGAAATGCAATCAAAATGATGCTGAGATATTTGCAAAACTCCGGACCACTAGTAACTGCGGTGGGGATAAAACCTATTAGTATCCTTCCCGGGGCCAACGTGTTCATCACCACACCATGTGGATCCCTCGTTTGGCCTTTTTCTCGGCCGTGTTATTGACCTATGGGAAAGGGTAACAGCGTGTTCGTTCCCCACCGCAGAGACCAGCGGTCCGGTGTTTTGTAAATAGCTGAGCATCACTACGGTTATATTTCACAAAATACTATGCCAATAAAAAAAGAACACGCAGTAAATAAAGTGACTATATTGTGATTTATACTACAGCTTGAGGTTAACCGGTTTCAATGCCGATTTTTGCTCTTCGGATCAATCCCATTGACAGGTGATTGCTTATAGCACCTACAAGTTAAAATATGGCTAAGAGAAAGGCGAAACGAAGGACCTGCATGATGTGGTCGTGAACACCTAAGCCCCCGGAAAGAAACTGCAGTTTTAACAAGCAGCATTTCCGCTACTGTCTTAGCGTACTGGTATGGTGAAATTGGTCATGAAATGGTATCAATTTAGATGTTAGAAAAAAGATTGCTCTCTACAGCTCGGCAAATATGTTAATAAAAAAAACAACCCCGTTTGTTCTTCATTCTTAAGAATTCTACGCACCTCTATTCCCACTTTCATGTTGCCAGCATAAGTTAATCCTCGTTGCCTACATTCTGACGGAAGTACACGAAGTTGATCATTAGCAAATAGTCTACTTGACTGGAGAAAGAACTTATTGCATGGATGATAGAACCAATCAATAACTGTTCACTTACCGCTGATTCAAGTGTCGGCATAGCAATGGAAGCTCCAGTGTAAGAAAGTTCGACAGCTTCACCGGAAGGCAAACGAAATTTCTCCTTCGGAACGGATTGCGTGGCTAGATGAACTCCTTCTTCAGCGAGGTAGTTGAATGAGTCTACGTGGTAGGAGGCGATATCGCAGTCCATTTATCCTATTTCATATGTATTCTATTCATTAGGACTGAACTGCAAGAATATACAACCACTTTGAAGAGAAAACGTAGGAAACATAGAGGAGTTAGACATACAACAACCATGATCGTTGTGAAGTCTTGTGTGGAGAACATGTACTTCATAGATAACTGACAGGAGACCTCATAATCTGAGTGGAAGCGTTCGTCCAGAAACATATAAAGTAGCTATGGATGTGACTTAAAAAATAAAGCTCCCGGCGTTGATCAATCTGTGAGGGATGTGCCATGTATTCGACTTCACTAAGCATCGTTGGAGGTGAGAGAATGCATATGTGGCCTTTACAATGACTCTTGCTGGCCTACCAATGTATCCGAACCAGTGCTGCTATCCTCCCCATCAATTTGCCGACTTCGGAAGGATGGAGGACTTGGTGGGCCTGGGGCGTTGGGGATCAATCCCATGCGTATTGCAGGGAGCCTCTGACCACTCCACCACACGCACCGTTAGGTTCAACTTTAGGTCTTAATATTGTCGGACAATTTCTAGCTCTAATTTACTTATGTATTCGAAAATCTTAGCAATACAGTGCTCGATATTGATCCACTACAGTTGCGAAGTCTATGCAGACACGTTTACATAACTCCTAAGTGTAAGTGATGTCGTCCTCTGGATTGGAACTATTCCCATTACTAGTACATAAAGTAAAAAAAAGGAAAACGGGCAAAGAAATCACTGAATGGACTGTTCTTTATTAATGAATGAAAGCATGAATTTCATGAAACGGTCAGTAATATAGCCGTAGAGCGCATTTCTCGTTGCTCAAGAAGAAAACGCAGACTCCAAACTCCTTATTTCAACAGAGAATGACAAACGGTGCAAGTTGGGGTCACAGAATCCTCCATTTTGTGTACATTTTATCCTAAGAAGAGCTGACAATTGAAATCTTGCAGGGTTTCATGCTCATCTCACGAAGGACAAAAAATTATCTGGAACCACCGGACCTCGTATACCGCGAACTGCGCCCTATTGAATACTTTTTTCATATCACATAGACAACGAAGACTTAGTAGAGTTAAGTGTATTGGCGTGATAGAAGCCAATCCTAACCAGAACAATGATCTGTTTTCTTTCAAGTTGTTCGAACCTTGGGCTTCGAGGCGTTGAGAGTGAAGGCTAGGCCTACTAGTTTCATCAACACAGGACTATTTCCAGTGCACAGAAATGTTCACAATTTTAGGGATTTGCAGAACAACAGGTCACCAGGGGGCTAAATCCAACAAAATGTTTTGGATTATACCGACGTCAAGATCAAATCTGTATGGGAGTTTGTTCTGAACGATGAAACCATGAGATAATATTAGTTTGGTACTAGCGTCCCTAAAATCTAAACAGCACCTCCCAAGATACTAGCCTTTCCAAACTTCCAATGTGCTGGTTGGTCCTTTTATGAGTATAAACTGCTGTCGGGATGGCATGGAGCTGATCAGATGACCCTTACAAGACATCTGCGATTGCAGAAGCGAATGGAGGACTGAGTTGCCAGCGATGGAAGCATTTTGAAAATTGTCGACTTGTCGTTAGATATTAGCTAATCAGTGAAGTTTTGTCGAAAACGGAGCCCATGCTAATAGTACATTATATAGTTTCAGCACTACTTGGATACTTTGAAGGCCCGTGTACATTGGTTGTGCGGGCCACAGAATAGTTTCCATTTTTTTTTGGAGTTTTGGTAGTTTAGCCACAGTGGTTTTCCAGAGTCCCGAGGTCAACCTAGCGAAAGCTTGCCCCAGGTCTTCACCACAGGCAGTCGCCGCCGTTGTGGATCAGAGGGAGATTTGCGCCCATGCGACTAGCTTCATATCAGGACGGTGGCGAGCAGTGGTATTGGTTTACTCTTAGCTGAGCGTGCTGATGGAAACGCCAGACTACTTGTCAGCTTGGGAGGCTCTGCTGTAGGAATAAATCACCCTGCTGTACATCGCCGCCGGACACCCAGGAACACCTCCAAGCCACGATGAAGCTGTAAATCGTTGAGAGGAGAGAGGAATGTGTTTGATCTAACTTACTAAACAAAATGATACTGGAATGCGGTAGAACAGAGACTGTCTTTTGCTTGAATCGTCCGGTGCGAGGTTTGCTTCCAAATGTTTCATGTCGGAGGTGAGAGCATGGAAGACGACGAAAATCGCAGGCGACGACGACCATTTGAAGATATTAAGTGAAGCGAGTACTTCTTGAGGAAATCGATGAAAACTAAGGTACCACCGATGGAGTCGTGGGCTCCAGAAGCTCAACCAACTAACATATTGTGTTTCGGAAAGAAACTGCACTTGGTTACTAGATCGAATAAATACTTTTTTAAGAACAATCATCATTTGAATCGACGCACTTTCACGAGTGTGCCACAACAGTTTTATGAATTGAACCTTCGTAATAGCGTGGAGTTATTTATTCGGTGAAGTCTTGAAAGGCATTTTTGGTGTCTCATCACTTCTCCACACAAGGGATCGATCCCCGCGATCATGGCTCGCCAGACCTTCCATCCCTCCGAGATCGGCAAATTGGTGCCACACTTGTTTGGGAGGATAGCAGCACTGATTCGATACATCGGTAGGCTAGTGCGAGTCATTATAAAAGCCAGCATGTATTCAATGACCTCTAACGATGGTTAATGAAGTCGAATGCATGGCGCGTCCCTCAGGGATTGACTAACGCCAAGAGCTTTATCCTTTATCCTTTATCAATTCCTACAAACTGTATCACTAAGAAAGTGATGCAGTTACTTGAACAAGTAGGGAACGTCGAGTAAAACTTTTAGGATTCGTCATGGCTGGCTGAATCTGGCTCAATTAGTTTGTATTCCTACCAATTGGTGGCAGTTATATCACAACTGTGGAGCGGAAAACGAAGCTGGATCATCCCCGCTAATGGACATTAGACCGTTTTCTCAGCTTGCATTCGGGCTCAAGATTTGATTCTTCACAGACTAGTCAGCCGGCAATCATTTATTAGACCGGTTTTCACTCTCGTAAGGAATCCATTATTCTTCGCAAATTACAGTTCGATTAAGGGACGGGTCGGTAGAGTTCTTTGTCCGAAACGGATTTCCATCATCCAATCACTGCAGTGTTTTAATGTGTTGAAAGATAAAATATTTCGAAACATCCATCATTGAATCAATATTTGCCGTCGAGAGTATCACCTCCGACCGTTTCTATCGTTCAGTGCTAGTCCAGCTGATTTTCACTGATATAATGGGGTGTTCTACTAGAATGTTCCCAGGTCTTCACCAAAGATGGATTTGTGGGCCGCAGCAAGTCTTTCCCAGTTCCCAGATAAAATTCGTGCCAATATTCTGATCCTAAAGGGGTAGAGAGCCTGGTCTGTCGGAGAAGAGGTCGAACCAGCGACCATACGTGTGTTATTACACGACATATAAGGCTACCGGGCTTGTTTACCATTATGCTTTTCAGAAATTAATGTCAGGTTTGAGCTTGTGTTTTCAAAGGGGCGTATTTTAGCTCAGAATATTTGAAATAAGAATTGGCGTAATCCGCACGTATTTGCCAATGAAGAACTTTAAGGAAAACTTCTGGAGGCGACAAGGTCACTGAGGGCAGATTCGGCGTCGGTTTGGTTTTTAAAGCATTTCTCGCATAGGATTTTCAAAATGTGTGAAGAAGCGAGAACCGATAAGCGAGGACCTGATGAGTATGCCGGAGGCGACTGATGTCGATAGTGTGGCATGTGACCACGCGTTATCGGCACCAGGACGGCGACGGATCCTGGTATTGGTTTACTCTTACCTAGGCTTCCTGGTGGAAAGCTCGGACTCCTTAGCTTGGGAGATCCTGCCTTGGGGAGGGGGGAGGGGCGGAGGAGGGGGGGGGGGGGGNGGGGGGGGGGGGGGGGGGGGGGGGGGGGGGGGGGGGGGGTACGAATCTGTCCGTTGTAAAGCTCGACACTCAGGAACACCTCCCAGCTACGATGAGGCGTTAAACCGTTGGGAGGAAAATTTGCAAAAGCTGCTCTCCAATACCAATGCAAAACTTTTCAATAGCGCAATGTATTTTATACTTCAATTACACGGGACGAGCGTGAATAAAATAAGCTTTGCAATGACATATGCTGGTATAATAAAAAAGATAGCGGCTAAAGCTTTCGGCGTTGATCAATTCCTGAGGGATGCATTCGACTTCACTAACCATCGTTTGGAGGTGATTTAATGGATATCTGCCCTTTCCAATAACTCGCGGTGCCTACCGATATATTGAGCCAGTGCTGCTACCCTCCTAGACAAGTCTGGTACCAGTTTGCCAACCCTGAAGGGATGGAAGGCTTGGTGGGCCAGGGTCACGGAGATCAACCCCGTGTGTGTGTGCTGCAGGTAGCCTCCGACCACTGCACCACACGCGCCCTGCAATCCTCCACATGGCATAGTATTTGAAGAAAAAGTGTTCGTAAAATACATACAAGAAAGATAAAGTTACAAATCCGGCTCTGACTTCCGAAAACCCCATAATCGCGCGTGGTGCCGATAAACGTTCTATTGAGGTTTCGCGTTCTCACAACCGCACTCACTGACAACGTATCAACTTGATTTCTGATTTTTCATAAGGCTTATCTTTGTTATCGGTTCATTAGGAGACATTTTGACAACAATTCTAAGCCGGAAAGCTCTTCGACCCAGATTGTCTCATTGGCATCGAGCAATTTCGCAGACTGGCTGTCAACGTCCCATTCGATTTCCGTAATTGTCTTTCATAATTCTTCAGGTATGACTATATCTTTCCTAGTTTGTTGAAACGGTTTTAATTAAGCAAGAGTCTTTGAACTAGGTAGCCTCCTTGAGAAAACCTCGTTTTAACTATGAAGTGAATACGAGTAGATCTTCGGAAATGTGTAGACACCACCTTTACAACTTTCGAGATAGGTTCTTAGTTCCTAGTTGTGTAAGCATCTCTATGCTAAAGATTTGAGCTTTTGCATCACCCTTCATTGATCAGCCAACTAATTTCAAAAGCCCTCGTTACTCTGAGTGAATCCTGGCTGCGATATAGAAAACAGTCTAACCACCCAAAATTCCGCGCTACTACGTGCGATGAAGAGTTGGAAATGCCCTAGTAAAGATTCTTAGGAGTATGGTTCTCCAACACAGCGTCAGTTACAGAAGAAGACGACAGACGCCCAAGTTGTAGCCGAGCCATACACAAAATCGACCATTGCATGGAGGGCGGTAGCATGACAACGATATGAATGAAGGGAGTTCTTCCGTATTCGTAAGACATGTGTGACATCTAAGCATCTAAGCATGAAACTCGCAAGATGTTGACCATATTCATCACTTGCGTCACAGTGTACTCATCATTCAGCAGCTCGAACAGTGTTCATTTCAATCTCTACTCGCCCTTTCGTGTATCAAAGTGGCTCTAGTCACTCGCAGAACATGAGAAAACGTCATGTTTCCCGTTTATAATTGATATGATACAATAATCCGTAGCATGTCCCAAAGAAAAGAACACAGCCAATTCCGCTCATCCGTGGCTACTTCAGAAGTCTTTAATGGTTGATAGTAAAATGTTCCAAGACAGGACAATGGTGTCTGTGCTATGAATGAGCATAGAGTAGCGAAAAAGCTCATCTACACTAGATGCACCTTAGTGGGAACACTTCACCACCACAGTACGCTGCCACACAAAGTAGTTTTGCGGAGAAAGAAAAGAGGCATCGACTCGTAGAGAGGTGTACGGTTAGGCTGAAACATTTCTTAGAGTTTATTCCTTCATGAGATTTACTGAGATGCAGCAATTCCATGCTGAAAACCTAAATTAGGAAAAATTAAACTAAAATCATTTATAGTCCCTACCAATGCTGTGGAATCCTGCACTGAACTATTAATTATTTCTTCCAGCAGTCGGATGACTACACAACTCGCCGTTCAGCAACTCGAGCGAGATCGGTTGCCTGTCGTGAATGATGAGATCGCATCGGAAGACAATCGATATCGTTTGCTTCAAATCCTCGGGGATGGTGGCTATGGAACCGTGTTCCTAAGTCAGAACACACAAAAGTAGGGTCCATCGTCATGTTCATTTACATTCATGAATTATAAATATGTAGCAGGAACGTCGCCGTGAAAACGGAAAAGTATAGCAAGTCGATGCTGCACATCGAAGTGAACGTACTGAAGGCCGCAAATGCTGCCAACTGCAAGCATTTTTGTCAGCTCTATGACTACGTAAGTTCTCGCAGAGGCAAATTAAAATATTATGACCACAATGATGTTGAGATATTTGTAAAACTCCGGACTGCTGGTGTCTGCTGTGGGGAATGAAGGCGCTATTGTCCTTTCCGTGGCGTAGCGCGTTCACCACCACACCACGCGGGTCCTTCGTTTCGCCTTTTGGTTATAGAATTACTAGTAGGCAGCAAATAAAAGACAGTTGAAATATTACGTGCTGAAGAGCAAAGTTTTTAGGGTACATGTAAACCTGACTATGTTTACGTGGTTATGACACTTCTTTATAAAGATCTCCACAAACTGAGATCTGAACTGCCTGATAGGAAGTTCAGCTTCAGTACCGCTCTTCGACTTGCTATTCAGACGTTCAATGTGAGTTGACGTCAAGATTTTTAAGAGGTTTCAATACGTTTTCGATTGACTATCGGGCAACATTGTAAGGTAGAAATAGCTGATGGCGCTGGAAAATAACTATTACTGCAGATTAGAGGATTAGTGGAATCACTCATTTACTTTGCACAGGATCGAAAGATAGCGAGTGATAGTGATAGCATAATGTATGATGGGCCATTAGTGCAGCAGGTACCAGCGTTACTATGTCGTTACCGATCTAGTTGTTGCAAAGAGGAATTTCAGAGTAGAGGGGCATTTAATAACATGTTTGATAAACGAGCGATAGAAGAGCAGCACAGGAGCATAGATGGAAAAAGCATGCGGTTATACGAACTTGCACCTTCTAGTAGATGCGTTTATCATCATCCGCTGCCATATGCTCATTTACATAGTCAATGTTCAGGCAATCGAAGAATTGCATTCGATAGGCTTCATATCTCGCGACATCAAGCCAGGTAACTTTGCTCCTGGACACAAGGCGACCAAACAAGGAAAGATCATCTTCATGTATGACTTTGGCCTAGCTAGAAGATATCTGGATAAGGTAAGAAAAAGATTTGGGATATCTATAAATGACAGCAAATATACGGCTTCTTATTCATGTACCTGAGATATTATGGAAAAAGGGAAATGTACGGCTAATCTGATATGTTCATCATCCATGTTGTCCACCTGACATGAATATTAAGTGACGTCGCTAACGCAATCGGCGTAGCTTTTTTTGGGATAGAGAAAGGGACAACTCTAAAACCTAATTTGGTTCAATTCAAAGTACACTATTAACTTGTTATTTGCTACCTACTATAATTTTTCATGGCTGGATATTACACGTGTGAAACAACCACAATGATGCTGAAATATTTGCAAAACAGCGGACCGCAGGTTCTGCTGTGGAGAACGAACGCGTTATTACCATTTCCGGGGGCTGACGCGTTCATCACCACACCATGCGGGGCCTTCGTTTCGCCTGTCTCTCAGCTAGTTCTATCAAGATTTATCTGGAGAGCCCAGATTGGCAGCGAACCCAGTTAAGCTGAGCCTGTAGTTTTTTTTGCAAATGTCTCAGCATTATTGTGGCTGTTTCAAAGTACACCGTTCAAGAAGAAGAAGAGCACACGCGATTAGCAGTCAAAGCTCGAATCTGTCCCGAATTAGGTTAAATCTACATTAATACAATAGATGGGAGCGGACTTCGACAAAATCCTATATTTTAGAACAAAAATCTTGTTCCGTCACGAAATGAAGTGGGATGGAGAGGCACTACACGTTACGGAAGTTTGGTAGCCCACAAAAGAATGGTAAGACCAACATATCGAATTGGCACAACTAGTTCAATGCTTAGTTAACCTGTGTTGACAAGCCACGATCATATTGGATGTCGCATATTTCTCATTCATTTCTTTGCGCCGCCTGTTAAAGATCTCAGTGGCTTTCCTAGAAAACCAGCAACGTGTGGCACATTCTTTCTCCGTCTCCGCTCTACCTTCTCTTCACCTCGTCTTCAAAACGCCTGCAGATGTAATCCTCGTAGTCGAATATCATTCACACTGATTTGATTGGGTCTGTGAATTGAGTATCACCCTGTTCCACTAGCTCCTTCCACCAATTATGGGGGAAGAAAACCGTTAATAGAACGAGTATTGATAGGTGCTTCCTATCAATGTGTGTGTCCTTTCCGTTCGAAATGAGCGATTTGTTTGTACACTGCAAAAAAGCGGTGAAGATCCTTTGTCATTAGTGGACCATGTCGATTGGTGTGCTAGGTTTACATTAGTCTGCTTCATGACGGGACGATTTGTTTATAACCAAATGGGCCTCCGTATAGAAATATGCCAACTACTCAGTTTGGTTGACTCTGCGAGGTGTGACCCAAGGCGTTCTTTGTAGATCGTAGTTTTATACCGAGGAATACCATTGTTACTACAGGTAAACATTCACAAATCCATATTACCTAAAATTATGCTTCTAAACTCTTTAGGATCTCAGCAGGCGGGACGATATAGAGAGTTGGTTCTACATGTTGATCGAAATCACCAAAGGCAGTTTACCATGGCGACTTGTAACTGGTATGACATAATATCAGAATAGTACAAAAATCATTATTGTTGCTTAAATATAAGCGTTTCTAGTCCTCCCCAAATTGAAACTCAGCGATCGCACTTTAACTTACACCATGATTTTATGGTTCAATGAAAATGGAAAGATAAATTTCGTTCGTAAATGCAGTTTCTTCCACATCCACCCAAATACCAATGTTTACGGAGCGCCTATTATTCCTATGGTGAAGTAGTCTTGTCAATACGATAAATTCAGAAACTCGGAACTTTATAACACAGTAAAATGAAGCAGGACTTGAATAGTAAACTATAATCGCAGCATCTTGGATACTTGGATGGCCCGTCCTCATCGGTTGTGCGGGCCTCAGCATAACCTCCACTCTTTTGGAGTTTTGTTGGTTTAGCCATTGTGGTTCCTTGGAGTCCCAAGGTCAGCCTGGGCAAGGTCTGCCCCACGTCGTCACCACCACAGGCAGTCACCGCCCTTGTGGATCGAAGTGAACTCTGGCACCATGCGATCGATTAGTTTGATACCAAGACAGTGGTGGATCCAGGTATTCGTTTACTCTTAGCTGAGCTTCCTGCCGTGAACACCTACCAGCCACGATGAGGCGGTAAAGCGTTGGGAGAAACCGCAACATCATTTTTTGTAATTGAAAATGTGTACGAAGTGAGAGTGGTCATCGAAATGCAGAAGTAGCCTAACAAAAAAGAACGGTGTTATAATGCTGTTCTTATTGCGCTTCTGTAATTTTCCACTATCGAGGAAAACTTTACCTATTTTCAGACCGTGCGCAGGTGTACGCAGCCAAGCAAGCAGCGCGTGAAGGCGATGGTCGGAAGAATTTCTTAAGTGATACACCACCACAGTACAATTCACTGCTAACATGGATTGACGCTCTGGTTTTTGAAGACACCCCACCCTACTCGAAGTTCTATAACCTCCTAGAGACTGTATGTTCAGAATAAACAACCGGGTGTCGCAGAATAATCGAAAAATTGTTTCAGATTCGCGAGGAGAGCAAAATTCGCATGTACGAGCATTGGGACTGGGAAGAGGAGACGTCTCCTGTAACAAGCATATCTAGAACTAATTCTGAGCGAAATTAAAACCGTCCGACATTCCATATAGATTTTAACTGTAACGGTGTAACGGTGGAAATGTAACCTTCCTATAATTGTAATCAACTTGGCAGTATGTCGTCCCGTTCTGCAGTAGTTTTGCGTCTCCTTACTTCAATGTATTCCGCCTTTTCCCCTCTATGCACGTTTTCATTCAGCAATAATCTTCCAGACCATCATCATGAGATCCGAATAAAAGTTGAGGTACAACGACTGCACATACGGCTTACTTACTAGCATACTTGTATGGCCCGTCCTCACTGGTTGTGCGGGCTCCAACATACTCTCCATTTTGTTGGTGTTTTGCTGGCTTAGCCATTGTGGTTCTCTGGAGTCCCGAGATCAGTTAGGCCAAGGTCTGACCCTGGTCGCCACCACCACAGGCAGCAGCCGTCCTTGTGTATCAGAGAAAGATTTGCCACTATGAGACTAGTTTGACACAAGGACGGTGGTGGACTGTACTAAAAAAAGGAATAGGAGATAAAAACTGTGAAAGACTAGTGGACATACTCGCTGGTAACCAATAGGAGTTCATTGTGCTGATATCACTTGTCTGTGTTCGTATATCTTCGGCACCACAAGTCCATTGCTATCAGCTCTCATCCGCCTACCTATCAGAACAATGGAGACGACCGACTGTGATTCCGCAGCTGTCTGTAATGATTATGTAGGAAATCCCGTAGGAGTGATTAGATCAGTGAACGACAAATTCTTAAGCTGTCCTTTTCGTTTGCTTTATATGAACGACGAACCGCTAGTAAAATGTTTAAGAACTGTATGTTCATTTCATTACGTCATCGCAAATGTAATCTCAGTTCGAGAGGTCTTGATTTCACCATGGTAAGCCCCACATGTGGAGTCACTGACCGCCTGGTGGGATATCGAGTATCAACTAAACTTCCTGCGAGTTCGGCTTCTTTCCTTCCATTAACCTCATTTGACTACGGTTAGCTAATTGCTAATGAATAAGAAGCCGTATATTTGCTGTCATTTATGGACATCCCAAATCTTTTTTTTACCTTATCCAGATATCTTCTAGCTAGGCCAAAGTCATACATGAAGATGATCTTGTTTGGTCGCCTTGTGTCCAGGAGCAAAGTTACCTGGCTTGATGTCGCGAGATATGAAGCCTATCGAATGCAATTCTTCGATTGCCTGAACATTGACTATGTAAATGAGCATATGGCAGCGGATGATGATAAACGCATCTACTAGAAGGTGCAAGTTCGTATAACCGCATGTTTTTTCCATCTATGCTCCTGTGCTGCTCTTCTATCGCTCGTTTATCAAACATGTTATTAAATGCCCCTCTACTCTGAAATTCCTCTTTGCAACAACCAGATCGGTAACGACATAGTAACGCTGGTACCTGCTGCACTAATGGCCCATCATACATTATGCTATCACTATCACTCGCTATCTTTCGATCCTGTGCAAAGTAAATGAGTGATTCCACTAATCCTCTAATCTGCAGTAATAGTTATTTTCCAGCGCCATCAGCTATTTCTACCTTACAATGTTGCCCGATAGTCAATCGAAAACGTATTGAAACCTCTTAAAAATCTTGACGTCAACTCACATTGAACGTCTGAATAGCAAGTCGAAGAGCGGTACTGAAGCTGAACTTCCTATCAGGCAGTTCAGATCTCAGTTTGTGGAGATCTTTATAAAGAAGTGTCATAACCACGTAAACATAGTCAGGTTTGCATGTACCCTAAAAACTTTGCTCTTCAGCACGTAATATTTCAACTGTCTTTTATTTGCTGCCTACTAGTAATCCTATAACCAAAAGGCGAAACGAAGGACCCGCGTGGTGTGGTGGTGAACGCGTTACGCCACGGAAAGGACAATAGCGCCTTCATTCCCCACAGCAGACACCAGCAGTCCGGAGTTTTACAAATATCTCAACATCATCGTAGTTGTTTCACAAATAATACCCTGCCGTGAAAACTTGTGAAATGCACTAAATAAAAAAGCGAACAAAGTGCTCAGTGTTGACCAATCTGTTCAAGAGGCGCCACGCATTCTATCCCATACATAGCATCTCGGACTAGATTGAATAGATATTTGGCCTATCCTTTAAATAAATCTGATATCATTTCACAAATTCCGAACAAACTGATGGCTTTGCTAACCCTGGGCTCAAGCCAAGGATCACGTGTGCACAGCACTTTTAACTACTGAGCTATACGCGTCCCTTTTACCTTGATTTGACAAATATCTTCTAATATCTTCTGAGTGATAAACATCCATTCGAACTCGTTGGTATTTCCATCTTACTGGCTTCTTACTGAAACGTATAAGTGCCAGTTAATCCGATACGCTTTTTCAGGTCGCAGCATCCATGGCCACCAAAATTCTCGGAATTCAGAATGTGAAACCTTCTTTAGAGCCTGGAAAGGTGGAACTGATTCACAATCTGTTTGGACAAATGTTCCTCAACAGAGGTAACTTGAGAGCTAAACTTTGATTTAGTGCCCAGCGCCAAGGTTAAACGATAGTAAATCCTGCGAATTGCCGCGCATTGTTCAGAAATAAATCTTTGCCTCTTAAACAGCCCATTTGCAGGAACAGCCTTCTTCACAGCTATTTTGTGAATAAAAAACAGACTGCTCTACTCGAATGTCACCGTGTTCATCATGAAGATTTCGTTAAGGATATCTTTATCTTTTCAGAATATTGCAAAAATCTGTCGGGGCGGTCGTAGTAATTTTCATTTCGCCTGAAGAACACGTAGTGCACGGTTCACTTACTTAGATCGGTGAGTGAAGTCGTTACAAACACTATTGATTCCGTCAATATAAAAATGAACTCTTTAGGAGCTCCGTGATGGGAAAGAAAACCACAGTGAGTGCCTCTGGTGGTGACCCAGTGTCATTCACGTGAGTTTTGTTCACCGCACGTTCACATTTCCGCTTTCGTTAAAAATTTTTGAGCATATGAAGAGCTTCATTAGCACATAACCGCTCATATTATTTTCACATCTAGCGTGCCGATTGGTCGATATGATGCCTCTGAGGGTCATTTCTTTTTTGATGGTTTGTTTTACTGCGCAGAATTTTTTCACCCATCCAAGCACATCGGTTGCCGAGCAATGCAAAGGTGTTGCGCCAGAAAAGCTTTTCTCTACACCTAGTGATGAGCAAGAACCTTTTCTCGAACCAGTATACTGACTGGTGATTTGACCGGTAATTCACTGTTATTTCATGTCCAGTCACTATGGCGGATCATATTTACTGTATGGGATGTGGTAAAATAAAAAAATACCGAGATAAACACAGCGTAGTTTGCAAAACACTTCTAAACGCTGACCGCAATGTGCTTGTATGATGGATCACAGTAAAAAGGGATAAAAAGCTCTCGGCCTTGATCAAGCCCTGAGGGATGCACCATGCATTCGACTTCATTAAGCATCGTTTGGAAGTGACTAAATGGATATTCGGCCACACCCGCGGTGGCCTACCGATGTATCGAGCCGGTGCTGCTATGCTCCCAAACAGGTCTGGTATCAATTTGCTGACGCCAGAGTAATACACGGTTTAGCGGACCACGGGCGCGTGGATCGATTACAAGTGTGCGTTGCAGAGCGCCTCTGATCATTGCGCAACACGCGCCCCAGTTAAAATGGACCACAGTAAAATGAGATAAATTATGACAGACTTATCAATCACACTCATAGAACGACAGAACAAACTCTAACAATCATATCACGTTCACAACCCTTCAAGTCTTCTAGTTATCGAGAAATTACCGTTTATTGTCAAAAAACCAGAAAGTCCGAAAATTAGGCGTGTTTCCAAAGGCATGAACCAGCGAAAGCTGCGCCTCCGTTATGTGTTGAGGAACAGGGCGTAGCACAGAATAATGCTGCTCTAAATAGTAGATGTGTGGGACGAGGGTGTGGTGGCGAACCCTTCTCATAAGTCCAAGCAAGCGCTGAACGGCCATCCACTCAGTTCCGCTTTTCCACATAGCACAAATTATTTGCCTTTTACATGATATTCGCACGTCATCTCCGTTATTGTTTAGAGATGTAGGTGGTGATACAGCGGGAAATGAAAAAGCTACTGGATCGGCAATGATGGATCTAATCAGCGGTCTGCAAAAACAAAAAGGCTCAACCACAGGAGGCGATTCCACAGTGAGTTTTGCGTTTTTCAGAGCAATTTATAACATAACGTCTAGTAGGAATAGTCGTATCAGCGATTTCGATGCCAACTAACACCGTTGAATGAGCACGACTTATCCCACATAACAGGTTATGTACAGCACAATGTGCTGGGACGAAACACGAAACCTTGTGTTAAGGCTCGTTTTTAGAAAGCAAATAACACAAAATAGAAAAATAGGCGCTAACCCGAATAAGCGGGAGCTGCTTTCGTGATATTTTGAACTGGTTTATGTATTAATGTGAATCGTGTAGCAAAGCACACCTTTAAGCTTCTAACTCAGAGATCCGTCATGCCATCACGAGTACGATTGAAACAGAATTTTTGCTCCATAGCCTTGACATTTTTGATCAATATCTATGATTACGAGTAGGGTGATGAAAACATTCATGAGCTAGATAATTCAATAGCTACCTCTGAATGTAATGTCTTTTGCTACTAGTTCAACCTATAATGTCAACAGCATTACTTCTTAATAGCTAAACGTTTCCATTTTGATGCACCCGATGTGCTCATAAATGTACATCGGTCAATACTCAATTCGTCAGAACCGTTTACGACTGACGCCATCGTTTATTCCAACATGTAGGATGTCTCTAAAGCCTTACCACGAGGGTACGTGTCGCGTCGCTAGGTGGGAGGTTAAACACAGATCAAAAGTCACCATATTCACACCATTAGTTAGACAGAGGTGAATTTATACGATAACTTCCTGTTCCTTGCACGCTGGATTGACTTATATCTCTCGTCTCGCCTCATTTACATGCTTATGCAATTCCGTACGTGGGTGTACACGCCTATATGCAGATTGTATTCTACAACTCATTTTGCCCAAAAACCTGCAACCACGTGCGAGGAAAATAATTGGATTCGTTCCTGAATCGCTTTTCACCGGATAGTTTCCAGATCTTCTCCAGGAGAGGATGGTAACCTACTATGTGAGCATGCTTAGCCCTCCAAATTAAAACAACTCCTAGCACTCGCCAACAAGCTAAAAATAAAGGACCGAGCATTAAAAACAGGAACTGTTTGTGTTTTTCTGGAGAGAGAAGCATTTCGGGGGTTCGAGCCTTAGAAGAAGACGAACTGGGTTTCTCCTGTTGCTGTTCAAGTTAGGCAATGATTAATGGCACTAAAGATATGTGTACGATGGTAATCTAATCAGTTCAAAAAATATAACAGAACCACTTTTCCCGAACAAGAAACACAAAATCGCGACCGTGTGATCAGAAAATGGTAGGAAAAGTGGATTTCGTGCTCCAACTAGTTCCTGTAGCACTAGCTTCTCTATTCAGTTTTGTAATGCACATTTTCTAGTTTTCAAAAGCATCTTAAGTTAATTTAGACCAGTGGAACAACAACAGGAAAAGGCAAGAAGAAAGGCAAAGGGAAAAAAGGAAAAACGGTTGTGAAACGAAAAAGAAGAAAGGATCGCTATGAATCGCAAAACTATTTGCTGCGCATTGAAGGCACCCTTTGCTGTGCATCCATAGGTGAGTACAGCCACATCGTACAGTAATCCCACCCAGAAGTCGGAGAAGGTCCAGCAGTTTCCTACGCTGATTTTTCCCTCAGGAATGGATTGAAATTTACGATAAACAGGTGAGATAAAATTCTCCTCTAAAGGTTTTCGTGACTGATGAATCATAGATGTACTGTGATGTAAATCAAAACAAGTAGAACTTCATTATAAAGCTTTTATCTAAAAACGATAAACATTTGAATGTTTAAGTGCCATGTGGTAGCTTCTTGATTCCAGAGTGAGAAGCACCTGAAATCTTGTACTGAATAGGACGAAAAAACAGATATTGATAAAGCAAGGTTCTTAGATTGTATTTGCAGTTCCTGGAAAACAGATTCATAAGGCGCTGTTAGTGCGGGCGCGTGTGGCGCAGTGGTCGGAGGCTCCCTGGAATACACATGGGATCGGTCCCCGCGCCCCAGGCTCACCAAGCCTTCATTCCTTCCGGGGTCGGGAAATTGGTACCAGTGTTATCTGGGAAGATGGCAGCACTGGCTCGGCTCCACCGCTAGTCATTCTACGGGCCAGATATGCGTTCACTCACCTCCAACGATGCTCAATGAAGACGAATGCATGGCGCATCCCTCAGGGATTTATCGATGCCGAGAGCTTTATGCTTTTATTGTTTCACCATAGCCGATAACAAGTGTTGAGTCTGGCGTACCTCATTAACTCTCCGATTGTCCACCACTTCAGCTTGACGATTTCAGCATGAAATATACTGAAACTAGTTCCTTGTTCGTGACGAAATTGAGTTTTCTTCTTCATTTCTGAGAGCAATTTCTTCCTAACACGTCAGAGAAATTGGCACCTTAAGACTTTGGACAACTATCATTTTTATTCATAGCTGCTTTGCTCTAGGCTTTTGTATTGTAGTCCAATGTCTTATTTATTCATGCCTATGTTCCTAGTCATTCAGAAGTAAGCCAGTTCGGAGCTTTGATGTCCTACCTGGAAGCTCACTTCCTCTTATTTCGCAATTTGGCTTCTATCGACATTGTGTGGCGTTAAGGAGGTTACATATTATAAAAAAGGTGACGTCCTGCTGAGTGTGGATAGCCCTAGAGGGGACGAGACACCATAGCGCTTGCCAGACGTTCACGCGCAGATGACCTGCTAACACTGTATTGTTTCGCGGAACCGTTATCACATTTTCAATTTACTAGTTCTAATAATAAGTAAAACAACAATAATGGAGGAGGATAGCGGTTAGTGGTGCAGTCCATCAGGAAGGAGATGTTGGTTCGTCCTTCTCCCAACGTTTTCCACAATCCACGTGGGAACGCTCCTCGGTTGAGAAAAGGAATCAAATCTAACAGCATTCTACGACATTCATAAAGAAGATAAAATCGTCAGCTAGCAGCCGAAACAACACGCTAGATGGTCGATGACCACTGTGGACGATGAATGCGAAGAAACGAATCGAAAACAAGAAGTGCTGGGATCCGCCCAGTAGATGTGATCACGGGTCATATAAAAGAAAGACGAAACCACAAAAAGCGGTTGCCTACTATTTTTCTGTTTTTTCTCCACAATTGCAACAGAACACCAGTATTATCAACAAAGAACCCGAATTTCAGTAATCGCCATCATTTGGCTGGTCTCATTATTTATCGTCATGCTAGTCTGCGGAATCTGGAGTAATTTCGACCTCACTGCCACCACGGACTCAGTCTAACGATAAGAAGATGGAGCTTAAAATAAAGATTTTTCGTTGAAAACCTGCGAGACATTGACTTGATTGTCGGCTTTGTCCTGATCTCCTCTAAATGCATGGTTTTGTAACGATAATTTGCCATCTAAAAGTAAGAATGGAATGGAAGTTGTGATACAATACGTTTTGAAAGAGAATGTATACGTGCATATTCTACTCACATATTGTATAAGGTGGAGGTGGGGGTGTAGTGTGGGGGCGAGGGGGTTAGTTCACCCCTTGTATAAAGAATTTTGCTACAACATTAACAATATTGCGAGATTAACAGGTGTACGTGTTTATACGTAATGCCGTGATCAATACCCGAAGATTATGCAAAAGGTAAGGGTGAACGTCAGCAATCGGAAAGTATCTTCTGCAGCGAGGTGCATAACACCGAGGATCCCAAACTCGTTTTTGTCAGTCTACTGGCAATTTTCCGATAACTAGAACCCTTGGGAAGCTAAAAGCGTGATATACTATGACATTCGAACTATACTCAGATGAACTCCGGGCATTTTATGTTTAAGTGCAAGCACAGTTCTTTTAAACTGTAATTTGGTTTTTAAAGGGGTGGATAGCACTGTGGTAGTGATGCCAGTCATAACGAGCACGATGCTAGTTAGATTCCGCTACGGGCCAACCAAGCTCCTCATCCCTCTGGGGTCGGGAAATTGTTAACGGACTTGTCCGAGAAAAATCAGTCTCTGCAGTCCAACTGGGAACCTTCCAGTCCGGCTATCTCAGGACTCCAGGGAGAATTGCTCGACCACCTTTCTACGACATTCAAGGCAAAATGAATATCGTCAAGCAGCAACCGAAGCCACACGTAAAAGTTGGAAGATCTTCGTGGATGGTAAAAGCGAGGAAACGAACTGAATGTGAGAAGTGCTGAGACCCGCACAGTAGACGTGAAAATGGGTCAAATAAAAAATAAAAATAAAAAATTGGTTCTTAAAGCTGCTTGTAACTGAGATTTCAGAATAAATGAAACCAAAAATTAAACTTTTAAAATGCCAAATGATCTGGAGGTAACGACAATGCTTCCATTTTTGAATTACGAGTCTGGACCACGAAAGGTGAAAAATTGTAAATCTTGGGCTCCATAAAATTAGGATTTCATCGCAATAGAACAAGAGATACTGTGTACTACTGACGAAGATAAGCTCACTTTAGGATGAGATATGCTTGTCTAAAGTCGAAAGTTATTTTAACATCTCGTGAGTGGAACTCAAATTACATCGCACACTAAGTGCTAAGTAGCAGTAGAGAAAAGAGAAATTTCATGTATGCCTTAGTAAAAAGAAGGAGAAGCATGGGGCGAATAGCACAGTGGTGGTGTTCGTCATCACTAGCATGATGTTAGTTCGATTCCGCACCGGGTCAACCAAGCCTCTCATTCTTCCGGGGTCGGGAAATTGGTACCGGGTTTTTCTGGGAAAAACCACTCTCTTGAATCCAGTTGGGCTCGCTCCAGCCCGGCTAACCCAAGACTCCAGGGAGAATTGCTCGACCAGCATTCTACGTCATTCAAGATGAAATGAAAATCCTCAAGCAGCAACCGAAGCCATACATAAAACTTGGAAGACCTTCGTGGACAATGGATGCGAAAAACGAGCTGGATGTGAGAAGTGCTGGGATCCGTACAGCAGATGTGAAGACGGATCATATAAAATTTAAAAAAAACAGTAAGAAGAGCTATGGCGAGGTGCAAGGTAACTAGAATCCTGGAAGGAATGGATTAACGTCTATTGCTATCCTTGTGTAGTGATTTACAGTGTGGTGCTATTTCTAAATAGCACTAAGGTTTTGAAACGCAGAGGTTTTGGAGTGAGCGAACATTGTTGTATTTTTGAAAATGTATTTTGCCAAGTCGTTTCCAGTTAGGGTCTTATGTAGCCCATATGGAATAGGCAGAAAATTTTCGAAATGCATGAGAAGACAAGGATAGCTACCATTAAGGACTATTCATACTCAACGAAGGAACGTAAGCTGACATGAAAAGTTAAAGAATATCCACAGAGAATGCTCTCTACACTCCATGTTTTGTTGATGAACAGACACAGACACGAGGCTGTTATTACAATATTTATTTACAACGGCTGACGTTTCGCTGGTTTCGCCTTCATCAGAGTCTGGAAGGTCAAGTTAACATGCGGTCTACTCACAACACATAAGTTTCATTCTCCTAGGAAACAACTTCTTTTAAGCAGTCACCGTCTTGTACACTATAAGTGCTCCAGTTATTTGATGGAGACCAGCCGCACAGATCCCTAATAGGCGAGGAATGTCCCGGTTTCGGAACAAAATTCATCCTGAGGTGTGGTGCAAGGTCACGGGTGATCACTAGGAACTCCTAGCGGTTCGTTCTTATATTTTTGGAATTCGTCCAAGACGCTTAAAGAATTTTACTAGCCGACGTTTTAGATTCCTTTGCGAGGACAGTGAGTTTTATTTCGAAATCTCCATTATGGTTTCCTACCGTATGGATGCCTAGTGGAGTGTTTTGTTAACACGAAAGACCGACTTTTTATAAACATCGGCATAGATGGCTGATATATTTATTTATGTGATCTTATAAACTGATCTTCTTAAGCTGACGCGAGGTTGGTATAGATCTTCGTTGTCGTTGTCGTTGTCGTTGTTTTTGATGCTGCTGGTCGATGGCTGACGTTTCGGCGACTTCGCATTCCTCAGAGCCGTGATGTTAGTCCCGAAACGTCAGCCATCGACCAGCAGCATCAAAAACAACGACAACGACAACGAAGATCTATACCAACCTCGCGTCAGCTTAAGAAGATCAGTTTATAAGATCACATAAATAAATATGTTTTGTTAACAGTTGCCGATATCGTGGACGTCACTAATCTTTAACAACAACGCGGTCTTGATGATCCTCCATTGAATAGCAACATTGCATTCTGACCGGTAACATATGAAGAATCGGGCAACTGTGTTGATGAGGACTGGTAGAAGGTTCCTCATGTACTAAAGTCTTACCCTGCCCGAACCAGGTGTTGCTCGATTCCTCACCGAAGAAATGGCGTGTCGGATTTCGGAAGAGAGAATCGTTGAGACGACATCTTCGAACTCTTTGATTTCATGTGAGAGAAGGAGGACGTTTCTACCGAAAAGACCGGAGTAACCGCGAATGGTTTTTCACCATTTCGTTTCTTGAAGCTGTCACTGCTCACGCGTGCGTCGGACCAATAAAACGGAGACGATGGTCGATGATCTTAACAAGATAGGACGAAGACCCAGCTCATGAAGAACCTGTTTGCGAAAGTGAATAAATTTCTTTGGATTTAGATCTTGGTCCTACAATGAACACGAGAACAACATGAAGGAGAAACTACGTAGAAGAGGAAAAGCAGCATGGGTCTCATTTAGGCCTGTCAACGAAGCCACCGACCAACTAATGAAGTCAAAACACCGTGCTCACCTTTTCAACTCAACAGTCCTCCTGGCGCCCTGTTATCCAGCAGAGGCATGGGCTGATACTTCAAAGAAGGTATCTGCTCACGGCCCACCGTGATCTCGAACGATGTCTTTTAAAATCTAACCGGAGCTCACAACGCCTAACCGGGTTGCGCATCTAAGATGATCACTGGGACCCATTCTATTTTCGGAATACAGGGGGAATATGTATTGATAGCGAAACACAGAATGGCTGGTCACATAATAAGAGAAGCCAATGACAAATGGAAAAAAGGGAGGTGGGGTGGACTTCAAGAAAACGGAAGCGTCCTCTTGGACGTGTATCTAAATAATTTGAAGAAGTGTTAATGGCTATGTGTAAAGAACTGCATTTACGGATGGGAACGATTCTAGGATTGAGGAATGACGCCTTCCGATTTCACTATATTCGAAGCAGACCATCACCATGGACAAGGATTTCGCGAGAAAGAAATGTATGGAAAATGCAGTATGGTCCGCATTAGTGAAGACGTGCCATAGAATAGACCAAGTGGTGAGTAATAACAGCTCTACCATTACGCAAATATGAGCATGTTCTGTGCTGCCTAGCGTGTAGTCGAAAAGGACGGTCCTGGGCGTAACTAATAGATAGTTAAGGACTTGAGAACAATAAACTGACATGGAAGCTAATTAGCCAAGGTCACGTGGACTGCAACTCACCAACTGAACAGATTAAAAGAAAACAGCTGTTACTTTTCAAATGGATGGCAAACAGTCAACAAACATCATGTACAAAAGAGCGCTTTTAGTGAAAACAGTTCATTTGAGAAGTGCTGTACTTCAAAAGATTCGACTCGTTTTGACGACAAATATCCACATCGCGAGAGCAACCAGCTGCGGA